AATGCATGCATCACGTCAACGGGGATGACGAATGCTGGGCCATCACATATTACACGCAAAATCGTTCTTGTTACCTTCACGAGCGCGTGTCTTACGCTGGAACATGTTTACCGGAACTGGTATTCTACACAAAGAACTGCTTCACATGTAAGACACCCTTCTGGGCTACCTAAGTGTTCCATTAATTTGGGAGTTGCAAGTTTGACCTTTGATAAACGACATGAAAGATGGCAATTTATTGACATCTGCATTTTAGTCCACCATCTTCAGATTTCATATATAGGTTTCCCTTGGTCCCTAGTTGAGCATTGTAAGATTTTGGACCAGTCTGAAAAACAATATGGCCGACATGTGTACATCTTGTATTTTGATTATATTAGATTGATAACGCTATTTTTAAACAAACAAAAAAAAGCACTGGATGGATCATTCTCAACTTTTATATGTAAGTTAACTTTTGTCCCTAATAGATTGATCGGAAAAATATTTCCACATGCGGCCATTTTTTCTTTTTGGTATTCGTGATTTGTTATGTACCGGGTGGATTTTTTTCGAAATTTCATGTGTAGGTTTCCTTTGACCCGTTGCTGGGCCCTTTTAGTTTGGAGATTCGGGAAGTATGGATGGACCATTAAAATTTCATATATAGCTTTCCCTTGGTTTTAACCTTTTGATTCTGGGTATGATCGGACAAACGAAATCGCTGACAAGTGGCCATTTTGGATTTTGACAATGAAAGTTTGTTCTTGCTGTTTCGTGAGAATAACTGGTTAGACTTTTCTTTATGTTTATGTAGGATCCTCTTAGTTCCTAGTTGTTCCCGTTTGATTCTGGGGTTGATCAGAATGAAAATGGCCACCAGGCAATTATCATGAATTTGACAAAGATTATTATCACTATTTCTTTTGATGAATTTTCTTATTTCCTAAGAGCAAGAACAGAGGAAAGTGAAGACCAAATGATGGTGGGCAGCATGATCCTTCTGTGAACTCTTGTTAATGATTTCTAACATCTTATATATGTATGGTTGGGATATGAAATTAAATCTATCTTTATTTTTCAGTGACCTTATTTGACCCCAGATTTGCGAATCCGTTAAGTGTTCCCGATGATTCCTCTTCGCCTAACAACAATTGTTCCCGTGATATAAGCTTTGACGTAACGCCTAGTCCTTGTCTCTATGACTACGAAACCTCGACGGTACTGGGTTTGAGTGTTACGATCCAGACCACCGATGTTCTCACATCTTCCACCGTCATCCCGTCGTCCGAACACTGCGTGTGCTATAGGGAAAAGAACACCACTCTCGGGGACCGTTTAGAGTGGCTCAAGGCTGAAACACGGGTGGATAAGCGCACTACCTCTCAACACAAGCGACGAAAGAGCAGTGCCACCGATTATAGACTCAGCGCTTGTGGCATCGGAGCTGCCGGCCTTGTCATACTTATCATTATCGTCGGCGGGATCGTCCTACTTGACTTTGGCAGACTTCGCCTTGACTTCAGCAAGGGTGGTAAAAATGTGGCGTTTTGTATTTCCAAAACCAAACGCTACATTGAGTCTCGGCATAAGACTAGACAGTGATGGAAATCAACTTTGGTTCCATCATCATCGACTACAGTACGCTACAATGGTGAAGGAAGTTAACTTGAAGTTTACTTACATTTGCTTGTGTGAAAGAACGGTTGGTATTATTTGTACATAGTGTTAAATACTCAGCTGACGGAGCATACCTCTTTGGCTCAGATGGGAGAGCCGGTCGATTATCACGCCGGAGACCTGGGTTCGATTCCTGGTCGGGGACTTGACAGGAATTTTCCACAGTATTGTGAAATGGAACCTGCGGGTAACAAACTATCCTAGTTGAGCTAGTGACGCAGTGTCACTATATGCGTATAGCTATAAATCTCGTACGGCAAAATCCGACTCCGCCACAACTTTCACAATAATACATTCATGTACAACTGAAGTCTGACGTGCAATGTTCATGAGATTTGTGCCATCAAGGAAATAAGCTCCCGGCTTGTGTTTAACCCCAATGTTATATATATATGTTTTATTGCTGAATATATATTGAATAAAAGTATTGTTTAGAATAGAAAATATGTTGACAGTATTCCCAGTGGTACGAAATTTGGCAACGTGTAACCCCTTGATAGAAATATTATTTAGTTTTATGCTGGTATGAAAGAAAACCCTATTTGCAAACTGAACGAATAAACAGTATGTTCCCCCAAAAAATAGCACATAAAGGAATGAATTTGATAATTTAGTGAAGGATTATTTTATAACAAATCATTACGCATAACTGCTGGTGACATGACGTGACGTCATTGACAGTTAATTCGCGCCACTTTTAGTAATTCAAAATTCATGAGTGGTCCCGTCACCTTCTAAACGGAATTGAGTAAACAAAATAACAACATATGTTCCCCAGATAAATCCTTCATTTATTCGTTGTTTATAGTTTGAATACATTGTAAGATATTGCAGTGTTTTATGATATTGTAGTCCGTTTTTGTCTACATTATTGAATTATGTAAAAAGATATTCCATTCATACAAAAGAAAGAAGTTCCAACAAGGTGGCGTGTTGCAATTGACTCATCCAATCATGTTCAAGTGGGTGGAGCTAGATTTTTTCTTTCACCGAAAAGAAAAAAATCGGAGAAACAGAAAGCTACATTTTACATACAAACAACGAAAAAAAAAATAAAATCCGCAAAAATATTACATGCACAAATTAACTGAATTAATTGAAGAGATACAAGGTAACAAAAAACCTAAACCACCCAAGACAACAAATAAAATACAACAGGAGGGACATAGGCCTTAAAGGTCATCTGATTTAAAAGACCTTGTGATATAACAACATCAGTAATAATAGGATCAGTCCAAACAGTTCAGGGAATTTGTTGGTAACATTCTATCCCAGCAAAGGACAGTCCCAATATCAGCACCCTGAGGATTTTGGTTATTGAGAAGTCGTTTGAAGATTTTAACACAGTTTCCCCATTTGAAATTGGAAGTAGGTCATTGTGACTAATTTGGTAGCCCTTCAACCCAACACGCTACATGCCAAATATCAACACCCTGGGCCTTTTAGTTATTGTGAACTTAAATATTTCAAAACGTGTGATAATTGTGACCTTAATAGGTAGAGCAGATATGTATATTACGTCTCTGTGTAGAGGTAATTAATCTGAAAACAGTTATTAGTCCTTCGTGGTAATATGCAACAGGCCCAATATCAGCACCCGTGATTTTACACAATTGACGCCTGTGACCTTGAAAGTGGGTCATGGTCATTCATTAAAACAACTAGATAGCCCTTCGTCCCAGTATGCTACAGGTCTAATACCATAGGCCCTTCAGTTATTGGGAAGTAGTTTGAATGGAGAGCTTACACACAGCAAGCGTGCGGCGCACGATGCACGACGAACGGCGGGACTGATGACCTAAAAACATGTAACGTCCTAAGAGAGCAGACAGAGGTACATACAGAGGTACAAGAACCACTGTGTCCAATCGCTACATCAGGGTCTCCAAAATGTATACACAGGGGAGTGCAAATCGAAGCGTTAAATACGAGACCAGGAAATAAATGGACTTCATATTTTTCGAAATATGATGATTTTGCACTTTTCTTTTATCGCAATGGCCGCACCGATATTTCGGGTATCTTTTAAGCCCATCATTGATATTGAATTCTGTATGGTTAATCTAGAATGCTCGACAAAGATTGACCAGTCAGAACAAATTTTCCAAATCCGATGTTAGCTATGACGACTTTTGCATATAGAAAACACTTCGGCTGTAGATTTTCGAAGCAATGTATAGAAAGGAATTTTTCATACTGACCCAATTTGGAGCACTCTGACAGAATATTAGTAAAGATAAACTTGGATAAGGTTATTTCCCTACCTATAAATAAATCCATGATTTTATTTACTAAAACGAAGTTATTTACAATATAAAAATAGCTGTAATTGGCAATATTGGCCAGAAAATGTAAAATGTCGTTTGTGCTTAGACATACCCTGGTTCACACTTTTAGAAACCCCTGTATCCACATAAAATATCGAAGATAAATAATCATTGTTCTGAAATTCTACAGCCGAAGGAATCGAAATTCGTATCCAGGTGTGTTTACTTTCTGCGAGAGATTGCTGTGAGGCCAGAAGAGGGGCTATCACAGTGAGCGCTTGTAAACTCTGAAATGTAACTGTGACTGACGAATATGTTTTGAATTTATTTATTCTGAACAAGTGCAATTGTAGAACAAACACACATTTACAAGCTCATGCATTAAGCTGCACATACATTAATTAACAAGAAAAGATCAATTAAGTTTTGTGTTGCCTCTACATCTAATATCGAATGCAGATTAAAAAATATTTGTAGAGATCCGTTTACTATATCTTTCCTAAACAGGACTAAGCAAATTACTATATGCCTGTTTTCAGAGTGCAGATGAGACAGGGACGGATACGTTCTAGTTTATATAACCACATCTCTGGTAATGTACCCATTTTTATAATAAACTCCCGCCCAGTTTACTCCTAGTACATGTCACTACCAGCCGGTTCCCGTTCCCGAGTAACTCACACGTCCCGATCATACTCCTTCTTCCCTACCCAAACTAATCGTCCGGGTTCTCTCAATAATGACGGCTTAGGTAAATATCCCAGACAAAATTATTAAAATATCAAACATGACAGTTGTAGTTAAAGAGGTTTATAAATGGTAGTTATCTGATAAACAAAACTGTCATGTCGGAATCATCTGGAAGTCATGATTTGCTAAAAGCATCTCAATACCGAGTTCATTTGAGAAGTTCAATGGCAGTTTTCCTATCTCTTTCCCCTACTGTTCCGCAGTGTTTGTATTTTTTCTAAACGAAACATGTTTACACTATTGAAATCTTCCCGCTTTTACTGTACTGAACTGTAACGTATTTAGAGTTAACTCCCTTCTTTGAAGTGATGCAATATGGCGCCGGAAAGTGGTAACAGCTGATTGCAATATGCCAAGTTTCCGCGACTGTTGTTGCACAACTAGGGACGCAAACGAAGTAATCGGTGTACTAATGGACACCTCGATCCATATATGATAGATTTATATAGGTAAAAATGGACGATCTTGTCGATTTATTTGGCACCACCTCGACAGAAGAGCTACCTGCTTCGCTGCCGCCTGAGGTAAGATACGTTTTGTTTTGACAGATATGACAGCCAGTGTCATTCCAATGACAACTTTGGCTTATTTCGTCCAAATCCTTGTAAATTTTAATATGGATGATGAATAAGATGATATCCTCCTCCCTCTTGGTTGATATGTCAAGTTTCTGTTTGCTTTATAGCAAGACAGATTTTGAATTAGTTCCAGATAAATGTAGAGGCTCTCACGTCATTATTTGTTTGTAAACAAAACCCACAAAGGCCGAAATCTAATACCGATTGTTCATAAGTCAACTGATCTCCGTAGATCTGATGTCAGATGATCAAAACTAGACGCATGGTCTTATTTGTTATGTAAGTGTAGACCTGAAGGTAAGAAGACGGAATTATAATAATCTGTCCGTGGTAACACGTATGCGAGCAGGAAATAATCTTGTTTCTTTTGTTTATAGGTAGAGGAAGGAAACATAGAATATAAAGTAAGTATGATTTATAATATTGTAATGTTGTGTTTATATCAATATGATGATTTCTGTGGAAGCTATATTGAATATCGTGACTATATAGCCCATGTAACTAATAGCGAGTGATTTGTATGATATATCATGTAATAAGCCCAGTAGGCCAGCAGGAACTTTTATAACCCAGTGTAAATAAAATACTGAACATCATAATAAGCCTTAAATGATGCTCAATTGCTGCTTTACTGGTAAAATATTGATGAAAGATTCTGTCTCAAAGTTAGGGGGTTTATTGGCAGAAAACAAAATAGCATTTGATTGTCATAACATTAATATTTATGGCTGGTCTTGTATCAATGGGATGCCTTATTTAGAGCTAAGATAAACACAGATATATATTTGTGTTTTACTATAAATCCTCAAATTAACACTGTAAATTTAGATGTTTCATGTTCATTTTATATGATAAATTCATGATAACAGCTGACCTAATTACTGTGTATTGTATTGTGTATACATTTATTCATATGTCACATTCCACATAAAGTATATACCTGTATACATTGTAGTGCCTAAACAATAGGTATGTGTGGATAATAGATAGATGTATATATACAGTCAAAAGATTAAACTCAGGACTGTTGAAACAAACAAAAACTGACCCAGTTTTGGGATTTAGATAATTATAAATTTTTGGCTTGATGAAGTGTTTTGGTAGTATAATATTTAAAGTGACTGTAATGGTAAAAATCAGTGTCAGAGAATATTATTGAATGTATATATAAACATGTATGATTCAAAACTAACCCTTTCTGTTAATTTCTCAAATTAAAATCAGAAAAACCTCAAGATAAACTTTCCAGGTTTTGATAAAAATAATACATAAAAAAACAACATGAATGACCTTATAAATATGATATTGTCTGTAATTTCATTATCCAATGTTTACTTCTTGCTTTTAAAGAAAACTATCAAGTTCATGTAAAATTCAGGTATGGCTGTATAGCAGCAAAGACTCAGTTACTTTGTGACATTACTAGCAGGTGAATTAAGATGTATTGATTTTGGTGGCTTGGTAATTTCAGTCCTGGATTCATATTTTTGAAGGAACCATGTAAATTTTTAGAAGCCTTGGCCACAAAATTTCTTAATAATGGGACTCTCCCAAATTTTGGACATTGTGTTTTCGACTCGCCTGAAAAAAGGAATCCTACAAAAATTACCGGGCAGATTGTTAATTTTCACTCTTGATCTAGGCCCACAAACTTATCTTCAATACATGCTATGAGTCTTTCAACTCACTCCTCATAGACATTGTCACAATTATTAGGTTATGAAAACTGATTGACTACAACTTTTTATCATTTTCTACTGACAAAGATGATTTAGAAATGTGAACAATTATGTGATCTGTTCAGCTTTATAGTAAACAGAGCGTGATGGTGTTTAAAAACATCAGTCAAGGTGAAAAATGTTATAATTTTGAAAATATGTGTATAAGCAAAAAAGATGATAGTATATGTACATGAACCACATTATTGTAGGCTTATTTAATTGTATCCAGAGAACACATTGCCTTTTTACCTTAGTAAGAAATCTTATTATATATAAGGGAAAATAAATAAATTATAGATCTTCTGTCACATAGCATAATATGTAAGTCAGAATAGTGTGTTACATTATCAGATAATGTAAATAAACACTTCATCACCAGACACCACAAATAGATATTACCTAACACATACTTACTTCCTTATTTAATCATGATGAATTAGAAAAAGATAATGCATATATCTATCTAAAATGATTGATAGGTGTAGTTTTAGGAGTGTTTCAGCATTTTCAACTCCTGAGGTAGCAGAAAACAGTTAATTTGCATTTTTACTGAAATTATTGGTCATGTTTGAGTTATAGCAGTTTGGTTGTGAAAAATACATCATTATTTGTAAATTTATTTTATTATACATTATTAGTAGAGAGATAAGATTGTGTAAATAAAAGATTTCCCCTGATTTCTGACATGTGATTGCCATGCTTACCAACTGAAAAAATGCTAAAAATGCTAAAAATGCAAAATTACTGCTAATTCCAATCTAACACTACAACTTTATAACTTTATAGAAGAAATTTATTTCTGAACACCTGTCTTAAATTCAACAGCACTATCATGGTAACAAATTACATGTACTTACATTTTAGCAAATCCCAATGCGAAAATCCTTCACAACATGATCAGGTGTAAAACACTATGAAAATTTCACTTCCTGTAAAGCTTGTTTTTGGTGTGTAGATGCAGATTCGAGACTGCTCAAATATTAATTTCCAACACAAAGCTCAAATATTATTCTGAAAAAAATGAAACCCCACATTGTCCACTTCAACACAAGAAGACCAATTTTAACTAGAATTTATTTTTGAAATTTTAATTAAAACCTTTATTATGGGGTAATCTTATGAACAAAAATATCACCCATGGTCACACTTAGAAACTGTGTACTGCTACCTACAAAACTAATTACATAAAAGAAACAAGTACACAGATTTAATTAATTTTTACCATACCTTCATACTTATTATTGAATTGTTATAATGTATATGGAAGAGGACTAACTTTTGAATTTTGATATACCATCACAATTCATCCATTAGAAAGATGTTGTATGGTACCTAAATGTTTCCTTTTATTGCAATTTCACAGCTGAAACTAGTCAACCCATCAGACTTTCGATTAGAACACTTGGTTACCCAAATGAAATGGCGATTAGAGGAGGGACACGGGGAAGCCATCTACGAAATAGGAGTGGAGGACAATGGGATGTTAGTGGGACTTACAGATGTGGAGTTAGAGGCTTCAGTACGAACCCTCAATCGAATGGCAGACAGGTACCATAGTCAAACATAGTGTCTCTACTCCTCTAGCCATTATAATGCAGAGCTAATTAGTTACCATTGTCAATAATTAATTTGATGTTTTGCAAGAAAAAAAACATGAGAATCAATGTTACCAATATGAAATTGGTAAGATACTGCTTCTGAAATAGATTCGGTTATATCTTTTCAAATGTACATCAGGGCCATGATATAGCTCAGTTGGTAGAAGTCAGGTGAAGATCCAAGGTGTGTTGTCCAATTCTTACTCAGGGTGGGTTCAGTTCAGTTGATTTGAGGTTGCCACCAGCCACAATTAGAATATAAAGCTTTATAATATCTAGGTAACACTGGCTGTTCACAGAGTGACAACCAACAAATTCAAGGAAAAAATTGTTAATTTCACTGCTAATTTAAGTCAACAAATACAAGGAACTTTCTTTCCAAACATGTCTTTTTAAATAGTTCACATGTGCAGTGTATGGGATCACAGTTTAGGTGTAAATAATTTTAACTGTTTTACATACAGATTGATGGCCAGTCCAAAATTCTATACTCTGCCAGTTGGTGTAATAATGTACTATGGTTGTAATCTTTACCTGTTCTGTGTGCAGATTAGGGGCCACCACTTCAGTGTTGAGGGAGCGACTAGTGGACAGTGATGATGGTGCGGGGTGTCGTAAACGGGCATTAGAAATCCTTGTCAGAAAAGTTCCAGATGACCAGCAGGTAACATAATTCGGTTGCTATGGTAAAGATATAATTTGTAGTAATGTATTACAGCATTGTCACACCTGACCATGTGGATCCCTATATATACTTATCCAAAGGAAATCAAGTGTAAAACTGGAAGCAATGTAGGATTCATTTCATATACTTGAATTTTATGATGGCTTTGTCAGTAGGTGTGTAAAGAGACAGGTTAGGGTAAACATATGTGATTTTTAAGTAAGATTACAGTTTGTAAATTCTGATCGGCTATTTACGTGAGTAAGGTTTATATTTGTGTTTTTGATATTACCTTAATACTTTTTCTTGCAGTTTATTGACCTACGGCTAGCAGTCCTCGGGAATGTAGATGCAGGCAAGAGTACACTGTTGGGTGTGCTTACCCAAGGCGAGCTAGACAATGGAAGAGGGCGTGCTAGACTCAACCTCTTCCAACATCTACATGAAATTCAGTCAGGACGAACCTCAAGCATCAGTCATGAAATCCTTGGATTTAATAGTAAAGGAGAGGTAGGTGTGCTGTATAAATGGGAGATAGATGTGCTGTATAAAGAGGAGGTAGGTGTGGTGTATAAAGAGGAGGTAGGTGTGCTGTATAAATGGGAGATAGGTGTGTTGTATAAAGAGTAGGTAGGTTTGTTGTATAAATGGGAGATAGATGTGCTGTATAAAGAGGAGGTAGGTGTGCTTTATAAACGTGTATAAAGAGGAGGTAGGTGTGCTGTATAAATGGGAGATAGGTGTGTTGTATAAAGAGTAGGTAGGTGTGTTGTATAAATGGGAGATAGATGTGCTGTATAAAGAGGAGGTAGGTGTGCTTTATAAACGGGAGATAGGTGTGGTGTATAAAGAGGAGGTAGGTGTGCTGTATAAATGGGAGATAGGTGTGTTGTATAAAGAGTAGGTAGGTGTGTTGTATAAATGGGAGATAGATGTGCTGTATAAAGAGGAGGTAGGTGTGGTGTATAAAGAGGAGGTAGGTGTGCTGTATAAATGGGAGATAGGTGTGTTGTATAAAGAGTAGGTAGGTTTGTTGTATAAATGGGAGATAGATGTGCTGTATAAAGAGGAGGTAGGTGTGCTTTATAAATGGGAGATAGGTGTGGTGTATAAAGAGGAGGTAGGTGTGCTGTATAAAGAGGAAATGGCTGCGCTATAAAAGGGGAAGATAGGTGTGCTTTATAAAGGGGAGATAGGTGTGCTATATAAAGGGGAGATTGATGTGCTATAAAAGGGGAAGATAGGTGTGCTTTATAAAGGGGAGATAGGTGTGCTATATAAGGGAAGGTAGATCTGTTATAAGGAGAGGTAGGTTAGCTGCATGATGGGGTGGCTGGTCTGCTGTATATGCAGGTAGGTCTACTTCAAATTAGTCATTTGTCTGATGAAATTGACAGTGTTGCTATGGAAATTTCACAATTAAATTATCTACTGATTGTGTTTTAAGAACTTCTGTTTGCATATTTGCATACCTGGTGTACCTGAAATGACTTTTTATTTAGTATGTATTAAAAATGTAGCAGCTAGTGTGAAAACAGTTCATTTATTTTTCAGATTGTAAATTATAGTGGATCTCGAACTGTGGAGGAAATTTGTGAGAATTCGTCCAAGCTGATCACTCTCATAGACCTTGCTGGGCATCATAAATATCTGAAGACCACTATTTTTGGATTGACTGGTCATGCCCCAGACTTTGCTATGTTGGTGGTCAGTGCTAACACTGGAATGGGTAAGTTCCTTTGTAACTGTGATTCAACACTTCGTATCTAATTCTTTATCATTGTAAATACTACAATTGATGGTGACAGAAAAGAACTCCAACTTTTTGATTCATTCAGAAAATGGTTGACTGAAAATGAATTTTTGATCTACATTAGCCTCAATCAAATTTTGACAAAAAGATTTTTTCTTGTTACCATATTATTTGTGTTTAATAACATAAACATGTTTTATCTCTCACTGGGCCCACAAAGGAACAACTGCTATAGGCCTCGACTTTTATGTACTTATCTTTGATATTTTTCTTATTTGTAATTTATGATGTTTTTTGTCTTTAGCTGGAACCACTAAGGAACACCTGGGGTATGCCCTAGCTCTAAATGTACCTATCTTTGTGGTGATAAGTAAGATAGACATGTGTCGGAAATTCCTGATGGAGAGGACAGTATCTCAGCTGGAGAAGATCTTAAAGTCACCAGGTTGTAAACGAGTTCCACTGCGAATCAAAACCGAAGATGATGCCATCACAGCCGCGACAAACTTTGACACAGACAGGTAATGATTTACTTGGTTGTAGCAGAACAAAATGAATTTCGGTGTTGAATGAATTTCAAATAAAGGTATTTGAACTGCCATATTTTCTGACGGTAAAGGTGATAGAATTAGTTACTGGTTTGTAATGCTGTACACCGTTCAATATTTAGGTAATGGAGGATTTCAGCGTTTGTTTGTATGTACACTTAGATCTTGATCTCCTGTAATTACAGGTTTGGGAAGCAGTTATATTGAGTAATATCAGTATTTTAATGTTTGATGTGTTTTATGTTTTTCAGAATCACTCCAATATTCACCATATCAAGTGTAACTGGGAAAAGCTTAGATCTACTAACCACATTCTTAAATGTTCTTCCTTCCATGAAAAATGTGAAGGAACGAGAAAAATTAACTCAAGACCTTACAGAGTTTCAGGTAATTTAATTATAGTAAATGGAATCTTGTATACCTTATACATGTTTATTATATGTACATTCTAAAATTTGTATATAACACATTGAAAGAAATTCTTTTTAAACAGAAACAATATGTAAAATGATGAGAATGAGAGCATTAGATTGCAACCAGCTAGTTGCAGTTGTGGGGTTTTGGAAGTTAGTTTTTTCTTCCACTGTCTGAATGATAAGTGTGTATTGGGTAATTTTCAGATTGACACTCTGTTTTCGGTGCCAGGAGTTGGGAGTGTAGTAGGAGGCACCATACACAGGTAAGATAAACTCTCATAGACATTCATATACAAATATCACAAGAAGATCCAACCATGAAATGACTTACCTGTTCACAAGACAATAAACCCATCATACAATTAAGTTCAGCTGGTTGTCAGATACCTGTTCACAAGACAATAAACCCATCATACAATTAAGTTCAGCCGGGTATCAGATGTCAATGTTAGAGTGGAATCTAAGGTTAGACTGCCATGATGATGTTTGCACAAAACCATCAGGGAATTGTCTTAATGGTGATCACATGTCTGTTTATATAGGGGGTCCATCAAAGAGGGAGATTGTCTACAACTGGGGCCATTTGAAGGTGGAGAGTTCCGCCAAGCTGTTGTTAAAACTGTTCACAGAAACCGTCTGCCATGCCGCTTCATTCAAGCAGGGCAGACTGCAACTGTAGCTCTGGCCAATATGGAGAGGGAGCATTTACGCAAGGTACATCATTTAAACTAGGGAACATCTAAATCTTTTTTTTTTTTTTTTGTAGAAAGCATTGATGTACAGCTGCAGATTAATTTATAACATACACTTTCATGATTAACTGTAACTTGTCATCTAGTGTAATCTACTTTAGGAAGATAAATTTCTAATTATTGTACTAGACCTGCTACAGTATCTCAGGGTTTCATACTATTGATGGTGTCCTTTGTGTAGGGTATGGTGCTGGTGAGTCCAGAGATGAGCGTCAGTGCATGTGAGGAGTTTGAGGCAGACATTTATCTCCTGTATCACTCCAAACAAATCACGACTGGATTTGAGGCCACCATTCACGTCGGTAGTGTGTGTCAGACATGTAAAATCATCAAGATTGAAGGGAAGGTAGGTAACTCTACAGTACAGTTAGGTGATATATGGTTATAGAGATTCAGGACATCATTGTTTGGTGATAGAGATTAGGAACACCCTACTTAGATGATGGAGATTCAGGACACCCTTGTTTGGTGATGGAGATTTGCGACATCCTAGTTAAGTGGTGGAGATTTGGGACACTCTAGTTATGTGATGAAGGTTTGGGACATCCTAGTTAAGTGGAGATTTGGGACACCCTTGTAAGGTGATGAAGGTTTGGGACATCCTAGTTATGTGATGGAGATTTGGGACACCCTTGTAAGGGAAAAGCCTGTGATCGATGAAAATGAAAAACGCTTGAAGCATGTAGAAATGTTGGCTTCGATTTTATTCCAGAAAAAGCAATACTTCAAGTATGTCGCTAACACGCAGAAGTCAAACGAAGTACAACATGTTGATCGATGTATGTATTTAGATCAGACTATGGATGTGAGCATGTATGTAGTGAAAAACTGAAAGAACAAAATGAACACTCATAAGTCACTTACCAAAATTTGGGCACACAACACGAGTAATTGGGAAAAATCTACTACGGCTGATATTTAGCAAAAACATAGAAAGAACACGAAATCGAGATGGGAGCAAATAGTGGGTCGATTCAGGATGAAAACATTATGGGGCGAAATGGGACAGTGGAAAAATTGGCAGATTGGTAATAAGTTCCAACTTGCGTAGCGTATCAAAGGCAGTGACTATTTTACAACAATTGGAAGAACATAATTCTTGAACTTGTATGGGGCAATAAACTCACTCTTTGGGGGACTAGAGATGGTAAAATTCCTAGAATTGTACTGTGTGAATCGCTCAGCGATGTAAACACGTCCGACATCTTGAAACATTCAGCATATGACACAGAAAATGGAAATCCCCGCTACCAAATATAGACAGGAGTTCCGAGAAGGGGGATAACCCTGCTACACTAACATGACAGAGACATCCTAGTTAGGTGATGGAGAATTGGGCCATCCTAGTTATGTGATGGAGATTTGTGATACCCTTGTAAGGTGATGAAGGTTTGAGACACGTTATGTTGGGAGAGAACTTCAGCTTGTATAGCACAATTTGTTCATAGAGACTTTGGAGGATAGTTAGGTGATGGAGATTTTGGGACATCCTAGTTAAGTGATGGGGATTTGTGATACCCTTGTAAGGTGATGGAGATTTTGGGACATCCTAGTTAAGTGATGGGGATTTGTGATACCCTTGTAAGGTGATGAAGGTTTGAGACATCCTAGTTAAGTAATGGGGATTTGTGATACCCTTGTAAGGTGATGAAGGTTTGAGACATGTTATGTTGGGAGAGAACTTCAGCTTGTATAGCACAATTTGTTCATAGAGACTTTGGAGGATTGGCTTTTATAGTATACTTGTTAGATAAAAGAACATGAAGGTAGTGTTCAGTTCTTGTACCACAAAGGTTAAAGAACAACAAAAGATCAGTTATAGTGTAACTCTTAGTTTAGTACAATGTTCAGTACAGTGTTCAGTACAGTGTTCAGTGCGATGGTCAGTGCGATGGTCAGTACGATGTTCAGTACGATGTTCAGTGCGATGGTCAGTGCGATGGTCAGTACGATGTTCAGTACGATGTTCAGTGCGATGGTCAGTACGATGTTCAGTACAGTGTTCAGTACAGTGTTCAGTACGATGTTCAGTGCGATGGTCACCAGAGTCGTTTGATTTCATTGGGCTTGGTCTTACAGTCAGATTTGTATTTGTATTGTAGGTAGTTAGGTTTTTTTCCATTTTATCTCTGTCCATTTGTATTGTATATGTTACGAGATAGAAAGAGTGAGTGTAATTTATAAAGGTGGGGTGAAGGTAAGTTGTTGTATTGATGTACTCAGCAGTCATTTAGAAATATCAGTGTTTTGTACTCCAGGTACGGTATTTCAGTGTTTCAGAGAATTCATAAAACATCATTAGTGTTTTGAACTCCAGGTATTCCAGTATCCAGTATCACAGGAAATTCAGACATTTTGAATTTGTTCTCTGTTTGAATATGAAGATAACAATTACCTGTTTTTTACAGCAATCTATCAAAACCAATGAGAAGGCCCGGGTGAGGTTTAGGTTGATGAAACAGCCTGAGTACATGAGAGTTGGATCACGTCTTCTCTTCCGCCAGGGCACCACCAAAGGCATGGGGGAAACTGTCAAGACAATACCATGGCGAAGTGAAGAGGCCATGCGGTGATTCAGGAATTGTTGGAGTGAAAATATAGGTTTTTAATCAAATCTTTTTTAGATATTATGAGTGGTCAGTTTCATAAATTCAAAATCAAATGTAGCATAGTACATTTTACCTGGTACAACATTTCCCAGTTTGGTATAGTTGACTTTTTTGTGTGTGTCAGGGACCTGTATGTTATCACATACCAGTAAGATCTTGGTACTAGATATTCCTGGGTAATTTGATAGATAACTGGATTTTGGTGTATAATATAGATCCAGCACTAATACCAGTGTTCATTTACTTTTTATCTTTTATAATTCTTAAGAATATCTTAATTTCATGAACACCATTAACATTTTATTTTGTTTGCATGGAAACTATTATAAAATAATTTTTAGGCAGTTGAAACCATTCCTTTTATCACAGTTATTTGTTATTGTTTGTATGCTGTTGTTGTTGTTGTTGACACGTTTTGAAATTTAATCTTTACATAGTTTGCTTCCTTTGTAAGTCACCTTTGTATATAGCACTGTCAGTGGTATGATGCTCCTGTTTGTCTGGAGTTTTAGAACAAACTAACCGTCATTCAGGAAGTGAGTCCTCCCCTCAATGTTACACTAACAAAGTAAAATCTCTCTTCTCTTAACTTCGAGACAATTTTATACCATGTATATTTTAGATGACCTCTTATACCAATGTTTTATCTTGCCAAGTACTTAATTATTTTCCATAAATCTTGATTTTAAAATGAGTTTTACAGGTGTTTCATGATGTATTGGTTCATGTTCACATTTAGAAACAAAACTGTTTTGGAATAATTAAATATAAGGCACCTGGATATGTCTATTTTTCAAGTTTAGGTTTAGAAAAAATAAACAGTTAGATTTTGTTTTATTTTGTTTTGAGTGAGAGTTGATAACTGGATCTCAGATCAGTTTGGATGGTGTCAGAACGTGTGCAATAGGTTATTAGGTAGATTATTGAGCAAATTTGTACATAGCTTCCATAAGTAGACATGGGTCCTAAAGCATTGTGGCTGTGATTTTGTACATAACAGTTTGCTGATATGTTGTAGCTTGTTATTTGAATGTGTCGCTGATGTAATATGACAGATTTGTTTTAATTTATTAAAGATGTTGATGAATCTGCAGATATGTATAATTTAATCTTCTTGAAGTATGAAACACTAGTTAACCTACAAGATCTTACATCACTGATATTGTTTGATCATTTTTGATCGTGTGTTTGGTGTCCTGTTTCGTTTTCTTGCTTATAGTGCTTTAATGTATCTGAAACCAGTCAACGGAGAGATTTAATGTCTGTAGATAAGGTACGACCGATCTGTTGAGATTTAGTCAGTAGGCCACGTACGACTGATCTTTTTGGATGTAGTTTGTAGACAAAGTATGGATGATTTGTTGAGTCTATAGACAAAATGTATCTAATTTGTTAAGAGATTTAAAGTCTGTACACAAAATGCATCTTAGTGGTCAATATGTTTTGTGAGTAGACAAGATCTGTCCTGTGGATTGAGATTTAGAGTCTTTAACGAGGTATGACTTACCTGTTGAGATTTAATCTGTAGACAATATACCCCAGGTATGACTTACCTGTCGAGATTTAGTCTGTAGACAATATACCCCAGGTATGACTTACCTGTTGAGATTTAGTCTATAGACAATATATCCCAGGTAAGACTTACCTGTTGAGATTTAGTCTGTAGACAATATATCCCAGGTATGACTTACCTGTTGAGATTTAGTCTGTAGACAATATACCCCAGGTATGACTTACCTGTCGAGATTTAGTCTGCAGACAATATATCCCAGGTATGACTTACCTGTCGAGATTTAGTCTGCAGACAATATACCCCAGGTAGGACTTACCTGTCGAGATTTAATCTGTAGACAATATACCCCAGGTATGACTTACCTGTCGAGATTTAGTCTGTAGACAATATATCCCAGGTATGACTTACCTGTTGAGATTTAGTCTCTGTTACCTGTCGAGATTTAATCTGTAGACAATATACCCCAGGTATGACTTACCTGTCGAGATTTAGTCTGTAGACAATATACCCCAGGTATGACTTACCTGTTGAGATTTAGTCTGTAGACAATATACCCCAGGTATGACTTACCTGTTGAGATTTAGTCTGTAGACAATATACCCCAGGTATGACTTACCTGTTGAGATTTAGTCTGTAGACAATATACCCCAGGTATGACTTACCTGTTGACATGTCGATGAAGAATCATTAGATGAGATATCCTTACGAAGTAAACATATGAAGCTTTTTGAAAGACAGTTTTAATTGCTTCATATGAATGAAAAACCTGGGTATTTACAGAAGTTTTCCCATACAATTCTGATGTATCATTGGTCATTACATTCTTGTGAGAGTGTAGTACATTTTTGTCATTAAAATCCTTTGTTAGCAGCTATGTGCAAACCAAACAAAGCCATTATATTCAGTGAATATTTTGTTTTCATTTGTTTAAGATCATATTGTGTTGATACTGACTGACGAAGTACAACATTGTAACATTTTTATTTCAATGGAATGTTTTTGATAGTTATTTTGTAGCTGACTGTAATATTATGATTATAAAACTTTATTAAATGAATTGAAAGTAAATCTGCAGCTTCTTTCTTTCTTTAAGTTTATTATCCTCAGTGTTTTGTCTATCCTTTCAAAACTGTTTCAGACAATCTTTTAAGTTGTTGTGTTGATGTACAGGTTTTCGGGCAAATGCTGCTTTTATTTCAGTGTTTTTTTCTTACTGTAAATATTGCGATAAAGTATCATTGCGCTAACTGAATGCTATTTATACAGCATATGTGCTCAGTCATCACAGCATTAATTCACCAAAACAAGATAAAGCATTTAATTTTGAGTAAGCCAAATTAAGTATGTTAACAGTCAAAAACAAGATGGAGGTTGGAAAACACTTTATGAAATATAATTTAATTTTGCTATTCTTCATTAACTAATATCAAAGCAATAAATATCCCTTCATACATTTAAATAAAATCTACAAATGAGACAGAATCTATCGGTCACCATTCCTCACTCATTTCACATCTTTTACATTACAAACAAAACATCATTCATGCGAGTTGCATATTCATACTTCAGTACAAATCAGTCATTTCTTACTTCCTCAAATTTGTGCACCTGAACATGGAAAGTTATACTAGCAAAAGCATTCCTATCCGTGCACTGGGCAAGGTGAGGTCCTCAACTTCCTATCAGTATACTGGCTAAATGAGGTCCTCAACATTCTATCAGTATACTGGCTAAATGAGGTCCTCAACTTCCTATCAGTATACTGGCTAAATGAGGTCCTCAACTTTCTATCAGTATACTGGCTAAATGAGGCAGAATTAATAATTTCAACCAGATTGAAGGTGTAACATAATTAGCAGTTGAATTGCTTGTGAAAATATTCCTTTGAGACTGTGAATAATGAATAAGCAAACAAAGGATCAGATTTAAATACACATTTGTTTTGTTTGATAAATACACATATTTATATTAGCAATGCTGGAATGCAAAAATTGTAGATAAAATACTGGAACTATTTTTATTCTTTGGAAATTCCTGATGAACATTTAGATATCAGCAGTATAGACATGTTAATATAAAGAAATACAAAATAAACATCTGTTATACAGCAGCATAAGCTGTATCTACATAGACAGTACACAAGGTACACTTTACATCTCCTTTACACAGTACACAAGGTACACTTTACATCTCCTTTACACAGTACACAAGGTACACTTTACATCTCCTTTACACAGTACACAAGGTACACTTTACATCTCCTTTACACAGTACACAAGGTACACTTTACATCTCCTTTACACAGTACACAAGGTACACTTTACATCTCCTTTACACAGTACACAAGGCACACTTTACATCTCCTTTACACAGAGAGAGAATATTTCTACATGTGATATGAAATCTACAGAGTTGTATTACAATGAAGCTAGAAACTTACTTTAACTGTATAATGAGATAAACTGGAGATTAATCAAACAGTCACCTGTGTAATGTACTGTCTAAAACAAGGCATCCAGACACCTGTCTATTGTATAATACAGTAATATTGGTTGATCTGGACATACTGTTGATACAATTCTGATAAAGCTGTCAGTGGACGGAATATATAAAATGCAAAATAAATAGTCACTACAATTTCTTTGAATTTACATTTTGGTAGACACAGCTAATGTTAAAATACTTTTTAGTCGGTGCAACAAAAGTCATATAAAAAGTACATGTATAGTCAGGCATATATATATTAAGTTTCTGGTGTGACAAAACAGACACATATGATTTATCAATATGATGATATCAACTTGTTGCAGTATTATATGAAAATGTTGCAGAATAGTTGAAGTAGATACTGACATTGTATGTCAGTTACAATACCATGGATGTTAAAAATGGATGTCTTCTGTTTGTTATCAGAAATACAAGCACAGTATTGGTCATAATACATCATTATTTTATCTGCCTAAGTTAGAACACAAATTGGAACAAATTAGATTTAACAGTTCCAGCCAACAAACTTTTATAATGTTAAACTGGATGGGCAATGCACAACATGTTGTTTTATAGATGTCAGTTCACATCGGACAGGTCAACTCCACCACATGTCAGTTCACATCAGACAGGTCAACTCCACCACATGTCAGAAAGGTTATCTCCAGTAAATATTGGACAGGTCATTTCCTGTATTTGTTAGAGTGTTCTGAATCAACTTCTGTTGTAGAGACAGACAAATACAGCCTCTAAGTAATTATCTGAGATGATCGGAATGAGTAACAGGAAGTATGGAACTCTATTGGTGCTCCTGTCATCTGTTTCCATTGGCTGAAATATTTATTAAAGAACCAATCAGAGGTGAGTATAAATATGGACAAACACATGTCTCCCCTTTATTTGACAAGAACATTTCTAATTTCATATTTTGACCATGTCTCATATTCTAGTGATTTCTTAATTGTTTTCCATCAACCTAGCTTCAAAAAGCAACAGTGCAATATAATCCAGTACAAGATTTAAAGTTTCACTGAGCTGACCTCTGACCTGATGACATTGACAGGTAATCAGGTGACTTGCAGAGTTTTATCAATAAATTTCTACAGTTTTAAACATTATGGCCTGGACAGAAAATACTGAAAAAATCTGCTTTTTTACCTTTTATCTTGAAGTGAAGGTCAGTGACCTAATTTCGGTGCACACTACCATGCCAATTGGCAATGCAGTATTTTTCAAGTTTAACCACATGTATCTTGCTGTTCAAAAGTTATGGCCTATTTCAAGAATGTTCTGAAAATTTTACACTTATGAACTCTGACCTTAAGGCAGAAGTCACATTGACCTAATTTTAGTGCAGTGCAGACCACCTCTGGGTGATGCAAATATGTTTCAAGTTAAAAAAATTATTGTGTGCCGGACCAGATTGTATTAGATGAAAAACCGGTACAAATACAATATGTCTCCATTTCTTGGAAGAGGAGACACTAAATTTCAGTTTTCGTTGATATGTGGTCATATTGAGCTAACTGAAGACATGGGTTTGATACCTTTATTTCCAATGAACAATGTTTTCAGCAAAATTCACTGAAGATGAAGACTGTTTGATTTTTTTTTTTTTTATTTTTTAATTTTCACTCTACCTGTATAACACCTTTAATAATTTTTAATATTTATAATCCACTAGGATATATGGTAATATCTCCTTTGATATAATATAATGTATCTGATAGAGTTTACCTTGTCTAAGTAAATTCTGTGGTAACTTGAAAAAGTTTACCTTGTTTAAGTAAATTCTGCATACACCTGAGAGAGTTTACCTTGTTTAAGTAAATTCTGTGTACACCTGAGAGAGTTTACCTTGTTTAAGTAAATTCTGTGTACACCTGATAGAGTTTACCTTGTCTAAGTAAATTCTGTGTACACCTGAGAGAGTTTACCTTGTGTAAGTAAATTCTGTGTACACCTGATAGAATTTACCTTGTCTAAGTAAATTCTGTGTACACCTGAGAGAGTTTACCTTGTTTAAGTAAATTCTGTGTACACCTGAGAGAGTTTACCTTGTTTAAGTAAATTCTGTGTACACCTGATAGAGTTTACCTTGTCTAAGTAAATTCTGTGTACACCTGAGAGAGTTTACCTTGTCTAAGTAAATTCTGTGTACACCTGATAGAATTTACCTTGTCTAAGTAAATTCTGTGTACACCTGAGAGAGTTTACCTTGTCTAAGTAAATTCTGTGTACAACTGAGAGAGTTTACCTTGTCTAAGTAAATTCTGTGTACACCTGATAGAGTTTACCTTGTCTAAGTAAATTCTGTGTACACCTGATAGAGTTTACCTTGTCTAAGTAAATTCTGTGTACACCTGATAGAGTTTACCTTGTCTAAGTAAATTCTGTGTACACCTGAGAGAGTTTACCTTGTTTAAGTATGTTTTGACGAGCTTTAACAAAGGCCATGATATCAGCATCAGCTTTAGAATCCCCTGTTAATGGTATTCCTGCTTTCTGCTCATTCCCAGCTGACCTGAAGTAAAATTAAAACATTGTATTAAATCAAGAAGTCATATAAGGTGATAGATATTGGAAATAAAAATCAAATATACTCTTACTCCAAGGAATTTGATAGAGGTTGACATATTCTGTATACAATTTGAATCATAGCAGATGAATGACTAAAAAGTCTGTTTACAGTACACACTGAGCGTGCTTGAGGATCTCGTCATGCTAACCAACCTGGATAGAGTATATAAGTTACCTTGGTAGCCTGTATCCATTCTTTTCCATTTGAGGCTGAGGTTGTGACTGTGGCTGTGAGTAGAAGCTTGAGAGTTGTGTAGCTACTTTTTGTCTATGATGGCCGACCTGAGGTTGGGAGTGAGATGCAGGCTGATATGACTGTTGAGGTTGGGAATGGGACGCTGGCTGATATGTTTGTAGAGGTATTGAGTTGGAGGCAGACTGGTACAAACTAGAGGCTGAGGAGGACTGTGACAAGGTAGAATTGCCTGGGGATACAAGATCTGGGGGTGGGGCCTTCCTGGCTTGTTTAGGGGTTGGGGTCCTCCATGCTGACTTCATACTACCACCTCCAGACTTGGCGTTCTGCAAAACCACAAAAATGGTAACAACATGTCTGTAGCTAGGAAATAATTGGATCATGTAGCTATATTTACAATGATACTCCCAATGAAGCGTAAAGCTGACTGCAACTTAAACAAATACACATGTACATGTAACATGTCATATCTAAAGTTATTTACCTGTGATATGAGAGCTTGCTCCGCCCACCACATCTCAAAGTCCTTCATTAACTTCACCTTGGATTTCTCGAGTAAGTGTTGTAGGTGTTCTATCTCAGTTTTCAGTGTCTTCAGACGATTAAATGACTGTTTATAGCTGAAATAAAACAATACATGTTAGTCTTATTGATGTGTTAGTGTTGTCTCCAGTTGTTTGTAGTTCTTTTAGACCTTAACACTCAAGTGTATGTATACCTACCTGACTATGTTAACTGTACCCTGTACCCAACTGACTTGACTTTTCCTAGTTAACCGATATCACCCTTAGCTTACCAAAAACCCACAAATTCACCAGTAATCTCAACAGCCCACATTTATACACTCTCTGATATGCTCTCATCCACAAGTCTCACCCACACAACACATCCCTTATCTTACCTGTCCTTTTCCTCCTCCATGTCTGCCCTCAGCTCTTGTTCCTCGTCATCTGGTTCTGGATTGTTAGGGTCTACCAGGCCTGATCCAGGATAATGGATACATGACAAACTCTACAGTACTTCTACTTACAGACATATATATCACAAATTTCTAAGTCTTTTTCAGTTTTCTTTTTACAACATTTTGTCATTGACTTTAACTTGAGAATATCCAAGAGTTGAGATAATACCAGAAGGTAAAAAAGTGTGATATAAATATAAATATCAAAATAACTTCAAACAACATATTTATTTAAGCATCAACACTTTCATCTCTGAATCTTCACTAGACACTGTGAATTCATCCTTTATAGGTTTATAAACCTAAATACTTATATATAAAAACAAAATATTAACATTGCAAATTAAAGTTCCAAATCACTAACATTTTCAAGCCTTGCGGCCATGTTTACATTTTGTTTTATATTTATGTGTATGTATCCTATTTGAATTATGTATTATACTATTTGACCTTAATGGCTGTCATTATTATAAGAGTTTTTACCTACTACACTATATACCTGGTAAATCATGTGTTGTATATCAAACAGGTGTAATTATGTGATCTTGGGTATGCACAGAGACCTTTAACAGTCTAGAAATCGATGTTTACTGATGAAGTGTTATTACTAAGCTGGAAGGAATATAGTAAGAAAATGAAGCAACTAACACTGAGTAGAATACTTTATACCTTGCATGGCCAACTGCATTCTGTGTTGTTCTATCTGACCTTTCAAATGGTCTGTAAGGAAAGGAGAGATACCATGAAAACAACACATATATGATGACATACAAATGATGTACAAGGAAAGGGAAAGGGTAGATACCATGAAAACAACACATACATGATGACATACAAATGATCTACAAGGAAAGGGTAGATACCATGAAAACAACACACACATGATGGCATACAAATGACCTACAACGAAAGGGTAGATACCATGAAAACAACACACACATGATGGCATACAAATGATCTACAACGAAAGGGTAGATACCATGAAAACAACACACACATGATGACATACAACTGATCTACAAGGAAAGGGTAGATACCATGAAAACAACACACACATGATGGCATACAAATGATGTACAAGGAAAGAGTAGATACCATGAAAACAACACATACATGATGGCATACAAATGATGTACAAGGAAAGGGTAGATACCATGAAAACAACACACACATGATGACATACAAATGATCTACAAGGAAAGGGTAGATACCATGAAAACAACACATACATGATGGCATATAAATGATCTACAAGGAAAGGGAAAGAGTAGATACCATGAAAACAACACACACATGATGACATACAAATGATGTACAAGTAAAGGGTAGATACCATGAAAACAACACACACATGATGACATACAAATGATCTACAAGGAAAGGGTAGATACCATGAAAACGACACACATGATGACATACAAATGATCTACAAGGAAAGGGTAGATACCATGAAAACGACACACATGATGGCATACAAATGATCTACAAGGAAAGGGTAGATACCATGAAAACAACATACATGATGACATACAAATGATGTACAACAAAAGGGTAGATACCATGAAAACAACACACACATGATGACATACAAATGATCTACAACAAAAGGGTAGATACCATGAAAACGACACACATGATGACATACAAATGATCTACAAGGAAAGGGTAGATACCATGAAAACAACACACACATGATGACATACAAATGATCTACAACAAAAGGGTAGATACCATGAAAACGACACACATGATGACATACAAATGATCTACAACAAAAGGGTATATACCATGAAAACGACACACATGATGACATACAAATGATGTACAAGGAAAGGGTAGATACCATGAAAACAACACATATATGAGAGATAGCTTCAACAAAATCATTACATTGTACATGTATATATAATTGAATTATTGAACAAATATTATTTTTAATAGGATTGATGAAATACCATACTTAGATGGTTAAGATAATGAGAATTTAAATTTCTATTCATTCCTATTTCAGAAATTCTGAGCCTGCTATTAGCTGAGGAAATATCAAAGAATAATCAATATCAGAACACGCCCCCTTCACCTTTTATACACAAGCCAGATGGCACTTACTGATTTTTTGGCGAGTTTTGTTGACTTTTTCCCCCAAGTGTTTAGCCTCTGCGTAACGTTGTTTTAGATGGACCTTATTCTGTTCTATGGTCTCCTTCTGTGGGTAATCCCGTCGGAAGATTTCAAAGGCCTCCTGTCTTCCTTTAGACATATCTCCCACTGACAACAATTCAACACTAAAATTATCACAGCATAGTTTATACTTTGACAAAACACTAAATTGACATTCCTCATGAGTTTAGATTTTGTCAGATGTTGATTTATTGTTCATTAGTACATTTTTATGTGAAAATTATATGCCTTCGTCTCACAAATCTAGCTAGATTAATTTACAAATGGTCCTGAATGCAACACAGCAAATTTGTATCTCTGAAATCAACTGCAAACAAATATGCTAACTGAATTTAGTCTGTATGTAGTCTGCTACAAGTTAATTTTTCATGCATTTTAGTACCAATTTGTAGCATATCTATGTAGTAATTCTAGAAGTTCATTTAGATTCGCTGTGTGGATCAGACATAGTCCTTCTATCACGAGATCCTGGGATAAATGTGTCAGTTGCTTGTGTTTGATGCTGTCACTACTTGTAAAAACCATTAGAGAGGGTTTTTAAAAGCGACAGAATGACAAAAAATTCACCACTTGTCGGAAACTTCCCTTTAATTGCAAATTCCCAATGTTTACGTGAAAAATGTAATTAGATGAGTTTTTTCATTCATCCTGTGTTAAACTTAAAAAGAATGACAAAATTTATAACGGCAAAACAGGGATATTTACATTAATGTTTACTATTTCTCCAGAGGCTTTGGCCTGATAACACAGTTTAAATAAAATTTGGCAGACAGTCTCTAAGAAATTTCTGAACAAGTACTAAACTGGTGAGACAGACAATACAATATTTTCCTCTTATAAAATAAATCACAGAAATAATGTTACTTTCCTAAAACAAAAAAAAACCCCAAAAAATATGGAAAGATTCAAGCTTAGAGAGACTTTGTGTCTTTAAAAATCTTGTTAGAACTAATGAAATAGAGAAAAAAAAACTAGTATGAGTTGATATAGTGATATGGGGACAAGTGATAGGCTATTCTGGTGTGTATGCCTTAACCTTTGCTTAGAGCCTTAGTTAGGTACTCATTGACCTTCAAACAATAGTGTGTATACCCTATCAGACATGTATGCCGACTTTAACCAACTCAGGATCATTTGTACTTGATATACAGAGTAAACTACAGAAAGACCTTAAATGTGGATGTGTGGTGTAATGATGACAAAAGGATAGTTAATGCAAGTAAAACTAAATGTACGCTTACGGCTTCCAAACAGAAACTTTGGAGACTCCATGACAGTGTCAGTCTTACACAGTGTCCCAGGTAAAATGTGAAAAATTACTAAAATTGATGAGAGTTTATCCTGGTCAGCACATATTTCCTCAGTTGTTTCCAAAATCAACCAAAGTTAAGGATTACTACAACCTATTTGCCAATTTTTACCAATAGAAGGCCGCTTGAAATTTTACAGTGCAATAAAACAGGAGAAAGAAGATGCAATGACCAGACCTGGACTCTAACCCAGAACCTCGTAGCCATCATTGAAATGAAAAGTCAACTTCCACTAAACTTAGAAACCACTCACATATCTTAGTTTTGGCCTGTTCCTCCCTCCGACGAGAGCTGTTGGGCCTGCTGCTTCGAGACCCCGTTGACTCTCGGCTCAAGGCATCATTGTTGTAGCTTGGTGCATCACCTGCCACTGAAGATGTCCTCACAGCAAACTTGCCCATACTGGTCAGTTCTGATTCAGCGTTTGATGCACGCTTCTTCTCCTTCTTCAACATATTCACAAGAATATCTTTGTACTGTCAAGGATCTTTACAGTATTTTTTGTATCTATTATCTTCTAATGAAACTAAGAACTGGTTAGGTTTCACCAGAGCTATTCATTTTCAAATCAAAACTCTGGCCAAATTATTTTTTTGAAACGAGGTTCCAAAAAATACATTGAAATATATTTTTTTTTGTTCTCCAGGAGCAGGACCAGACCCTTGATCTTATCCTTGAAGCACCATTCCATTTCATTCTCATTGTGCATGTATATATGGGGTAGTCAAAAATTATAATTCATCACTTTCTCAACCCAGTATGCTTTATTCCCAGAGAGGTATCAATGGTTTCAGACTGCAGAGATCGGACCATATCCTTGTATCAGTTATATCAATAGGTCTGGACCCCAGAAAACTAAACCTTATAAGATTATGCTAATCAGTGAAGATCCCAGTAGTAAAATTGTGTCAGTGGGTACCCACCATAGAGATTTTTACCTAACAGTAAAATAGGTCAGTGGGTACCGACCAAAGAGATCTTAACCCAGTAGTATGATTGTATCAGTGGGTACCGATCAAATAGATCTTAACCCAGTAGTATAATTAGGTCAGTGGGTACTGACTGAAGAGATCTTTACCTAGCAGTATAATTAGGTCAGTGGGTACCGACCGAAGAGATCTTTACCTAACAGTATAATTAGGCCAGTGGGTACCGACCGAAGAGATCTTTACCTAGCAGTATAATTAGGTCAGTGGGTACCTACCATAGAGATTTTTACCTAGTAGTATAATTAGGTCAGTGGGTACCCACCATAGAGATTTTTACCTAGTAGTATAATTAGGTCAGTGGGTACCCACCATAGAGATATTTATCTAGTAGTATAATCATGGTCAGTGGGTACTGACTGAAGAGATCTTTACCTGTTGGTACAGCTGTTTCAATGGGTCAAGACCCCAGACATTAACCTAGTAGTAGGACTGGTTCAAAGGGTCCAGACCCCAGACATTAACCTAGTAGTAGGACTGTGTCAATGGGTCCAGACCCCAGACATTAACCTAGTAGTAGGACTGTGTCAATGGGTCCAGACCCCAGACATTAACCTAGTAGTAGGACTGTGTCAATGGGTCTAGACCCCAGACATTAACCTAGTAGTAGGACTGTGTCAATGGGTCTAGACCCCAGACATTAACCTAGTAGTAGGACTGTGTCAATGGGTCCAGACCCCAGACATTAACCTAGTAGTAGGACTGTGTCAATGGGTCAAGACCCCAGACATTAACCTAGTAGTAGGACTGTAGCAATGGGTCCAGACCCCAGACATTAACCTAGTAGTAGGACTGTGTCAATGGGTCCAGACCCCAGACATTAACCTAGTAGTAGGACTGTGTCAATGGGTCCAGACCCCAGACATTAACCTAGTAGTAGGACTGTGTCAATGGGTCCAGACCCCAGACATTAACCTAGTAGTAGGACTGTGTCAATGGGTCCAGACCCCAGACATTAACCTAGTAGTAGGACTGTGTCAATGGGTCCAGACCCCAGACATTAACCTAGTAGTAGGACTGTGTCAATGGGTCCAGACCCCAGACATTAACCTAGTAGTAGGACTGTGTCAATGGGTCCAGACCCCAGACATTAACCTAGTAGTAGGACTGTGTCAATGGGTCCAGACCCCAGACATTAACCTAGTAGTAGGACTGTGTCAATGGGTCCAGACCCCAGACATTAACCTAGTAGTAGGACTGTGTCAATGGGTCCAGACCCCAGACATTAACCTAGTAGTAGGACTGTGTCAATGGGTCCAGACCCCAGACATTAACCTAGTAGTAGGACTGTACCAATGGGTAAAGACCCCAGACATTAACCTAGTAGTAGGACTTTTATCCCATAGTTGGACATACGTAGCTAAAACTGATAGGGTCTAATCTTTGTTTTAAGTGAATATTGATGAATGGACAGACTCACAATATGAGACCAATCCTGTCCTTCAGAATGGGTCAGATGGACAGACTCACAATGTGAGACCAATCCTGTCCTTCAGAATGGGTCAGATGGACAGATTCACAATATGAGACCAATCCTGTCCTTCAGAATGGGTCAGATGGACAGACTCACAATATGAGACCTCTCCTGTCCTTCAGAATGGGTCAGATGGACAGACTCACAATATGAGACCAATCCTGTCCTTCAGAATGGGTCAGATGGACAGACTCACAATATGAGACCAATCCTGTCCTTCAGAATTGGTCAGATGGACAGACTCACAATGTGAGACCAATCCTGTCCTTCAGAATGGGTCAGATGGACAGACTCACAATATGAGACCAATCCTGTCCTTCAGAATGGGTCAAATGGACGGACTCACAATATGAGATCAATCCTGTCCTTCAGAATGGGTCAGATGGACAGACTCACAATATGAGACCTCTCCTGTCCTTCAGAATGGGTCAGATGGACAGACTCACAATATGAGACCAATCCTGTCCTTCAGAATGGGTTAGATGGACATGCTGACAATATGAGATTTTCTATGTCCTTCAGATCAGGTGAAAAGGATACTGATTTCGTTGTCTCTCTGCTGTACGAGATCCTTTAGCTTGCTGTTCTCTGCATCACTATAAGGACCAGTGTCGGGGGGCAGCGCCTCAGGTGCTGGGGATCGGATCACTTCTGTCACAGCTGGCTTTTCTAGTACATGTTTCTGCCAACAAAGAACAAAATTTAACACTTATTAGTAATCTTCTTGATGCCTTTCTTCAGATGACAATTCATGAACTTGTGATTAGTTATATCTTCTCTAGAGAAATAATATTTACCTTGAGTATACGAAAGCAGGTCTGGATTTTTCTCATGTCTGCCCCAATACTGAGGATTACATCTGGATCTGTGTCTTCCAGGTATCGTTCTACAGCCTCTTGACATCTATAACACAGTAACATAGCCATGTTATATCATACAATAACAACCTTTGAAATCCTTCATCTTTATACATGAGAACAAGACAAGAACCGAGGTGTACAAATTATTAGCATCCTTTTAATATTAATGCAGGAATCATTTCACATGGTACCTCTGCAGGTCTTCGTCGGTCAGGTCGTCAGTCCGCTGTTCTCCTGTTGCCATGGCAAGCTCTTCCTTCAGTTGCTGAATCTCCCTTTTAAGTTTCTGGATCATCAACTTTGGGTCAAGCTCTTCATTGACCATAACTTCATTCTTGATCATGGCAACTCTTTGAGCAAAACGACATGTGGATATGGATTCCTGGCAACAAAATAAATCTTTAAAGATTCAAACAACAGGTTTATCGCTACCAGAAACAGTTGAATGAATGTGTTAAATGGATTCAAATGGTAAATGGGTGAAAATTCTGGAAAAATAAATTTTTCAAAAATCTAAAGAACAAAACTAGTGACCTAGGAGAACATGTGAAATTTAAGAAAGATCCATCTAGTATTTATCAAGAAATAATATTCACAATCTTTCTTTGTCAAATTCCAAGATTGTCTCCTGTTGGCCTTCTTGTTTTTCTGATTGAACAGTCCCAAAGTGGAATATGTATAACTATGGACAAAAGCAAAACTTCATTTGAAATGGAGAATGATCCATCTAACACTTGTTCAGAAGATAACAATCCATGCCTGTCTAAAGCCAAGATGGCCGTCAGTCAGTCGTGTTTCTTCAATCAGTTCCAAAATGGACTACGCACAACAAGGGAGTAAGGTGAACCTAAATATGAAATTAATGACCAATCCAGTGCTTCTTCAGAAAAAGCCGTAACAAGGATTGTTTAAGGATGGACGATAAAGAGTGATTTGATAAGCCCACTATATGATAATGTTGGGTTTATAAACTAGCTTATATAAACAACATTTTTCGGCCAATCTATCGTTACTTACATCAAGGTTGCGTTTCTCTATTGAACACGTGGCAATCATGGTGGTCATACAGTTTCCCCCGAGACTGTCCCGAAGGACAGATGTCATCATTGAGTTCCTGTAGGGAATATGCTGTCTGTTCTTATCTGACAGTGCTATAATCACCTGGATAAAGTCAATTGTCCATGTTAGCATAACACATACAGTTACAAAAACTGTTTCCAAACCCACAAATATTTCTTCACAACTAGCATAGCTCTGTGACAAAATTTCATTGTATTGAGTAATGATTTTGAGAATTAGAATTTTCATTTGAAACTTTAAAGAGAGTTCCTGACAGAGGAAATGATCTACTGGAGTAAATATTGTAGTGTCATTATTAATGATTAGACAGCAATAAGTACTGAGAAAGGATGACCATAACATGTAAGAAATCTTCAGTTAGATCAAAATATTATTTCAAAGTTTCGTTTTTATGATAATTTTTGTTCAGAAGAAACAGATAACAGCTATTTTGGTTTCTTTTGAATATGGACGGGTCAAATTTTATTAAGACCATCCGTACACCATACTCAGCTTAATAGATGAAGCCTGTCTGAAAATAACTGTCTGATAAGAAGAAGGAGCAACAGCAAGCTTTTCAAGATGGCAGTTGTGGCAGTCATCTTGAATGTGCTACAGAGCTTAATTTCAGTCAGTATCATCCATGATTGACCTATACACAATGTGTTAGTGGATGCCCTGTTATTATAACTTTCTGCATAGGTATTAGATGTGTATAAGCTGGTACTGTTACTATGTGTCTCACCTGTTCCAGGAAGTGTAAAGATAAGTTGATGTACTTGGCCTCTGTCAGAAGAGTACCACCTACACCACTTTTGCCCACTCTCTCTGACCTGTGAGTAGAATGTAAAACAATGTTGTAAAACACTTCAAATTAAACCCAATAGTTATGAACCAACAAAGCAAATTCTATTATCTATACTCAGTATACCAGTATGTCTGAATCATATTCACCTTTATGCTATATCATCATATAAAGGAAATGTCTACATCATTTACTCAGCAAAAATCCCAAGTCTGTATTAGTACGTATTCAGGATAAGTCTATATTGGTACGTATTCAGGATAGTCTATATCAGTATATGTTCAGGATAAGTCTATATCAGTATATGTTCAGGATAAGTCTATATCAGTATATGTTCAGGATAAGTCTATATCAGTATATGTTCAGGATAAGTCTATATCAGTATATGTTCAGGATAAGTCTATATCAGTATATGTTCAGGATAAGTCTATATCAGTATATGTTCAGGATAAGTCTATATCAGTATATGTTCAGGATAAGTCTATATTGGTACGTATTCAGGATAAGTCTATATCAGTATATGTTCAGGATAAGTCTATATTGGTACGTATTCAGGATAAGTCTATATCAGTATGATATGTAAGTCAGGATAAGTCTATATCAGTATATGTTCTATATTCAGTAAGTCTATATCAGTATATGTTCAGGATAAGTCTATATCAGTATATGTTCAGTATATGATAAGTCTATATGTTCAGGTACGGTATATTCAGGATAAGTCTATATCAGTATATATTCAGGATAAGTCTATATCAGTATATGTTCAGGATAAGTCTATATCAGTATATGTTCAGGATAAGTCTATATCAGTATATGTTCAGGATAAGTCTATATCAGTACGTGTTCAGGATAAGTCTATATCAGTACATGTTCAGGATAAGTCTATATCAGTATATGTTCAGGATAAGTCTATATCAGTATATGTTCAGGATAAGTCTATATCATATCTATGTTCATATCAGTATATGATAAGTCTATATCAGGATAAGTCTATATCAGTATATGTTCAGGATAAGTCATATTGGATAAAGTCTATATTGTATATGTATAAGTCGTATTGTTCAGGATAAGTCTATATCAGTACATGTTCAGGATAAGTCTATATTAGTACGTATTCAGGATAAGTCTATATTGGTACGTATTCAGGATAAGTCTATATCAGTATATGTTCAGGATAAGTCTATATTGGTACGTATTCAGGATAAGTCTATATCAGTATATGTTCAGGATAAGTCTATATCAGTATATGTTCAGGATAAGTCTATATCAGTATATGTTCAGGATAAGTCTATATCAGTATATGTTCAGGATAAGTCTATATTGGTACGTATTCAGGATAAGTCTATATTGGTACGTATTCAGGATAAGTCTATATTGGTACGTATTCAGGATAAGTCTATATTGGTACGTATTCAGGATAAGTCAGTATATATTCAGAATAAATCTGATCATTATATATTCAGGAAAAGATTATATCAATTGAGCAACAAAGCAGAGAGGATTATAATCTGCAAAATTATTATGGAGCAGTAATAAATGAAATTAGCATAAAATTTACTTCCATTCCCATCTTAATTCATATGTATCTGTTATCTTAGATGTGTGTCTTACCCAGCCAGATCCACCAGGTGGAGCTTTGCTCTGCGTATAGTAGCAGAACCTGTTTCTCTGGATGTCACATGGATGGTGAAGATACAATGTGATCGTGTGGAGGCTTGATTCATTGGTGTCTAGTAATAAAAATGGCTCTGATTTATCTTTAACCAAAATCCACAGAAATCTGTATTGACAAAAATCTAGTCTCTTTCTGTACAGTTGATATAAAACAATATCACTCACAGCTATGTCAGAGTATGCTTTCCCCCTTCAATTCAATACAACATTTACCATATCAGCTCATATGACAAATTAATTCAGCCAGTAGTTGAAAACTGCTTAACAGAAACCATTGCACTCCTGATATAGAGGATGCCTCTACTTCATGCATCATTGACTATGTCACCCCTACCTCTGCTATCATCCTGTTGGTGTCCCCTAAGAAGAGTAGATTCAGGGCCTCTTCCTCTGAACCTGCTTGGTGTACAGACAAGTTCTTGAGATGAATGTTCTGGTCCGAGTCTTCCATCAGACCAACTTTCCTACAAGTAAGCATGAATTTGTACATTCAGCACACAAATTGAATTGTTTGTATAATGTTAAAAATTCTGAACTGATAATTCTTCATCATTACAAATTACAGAAATATTTTGAGCTCAACCGCTACTTTTTGTTTTTTTCTTATAAGCAAATTTACTTGGCAATAATTCAGGGATGGGTATGCGTCCCTGCTCTTGGACAACTTTATGTTGCAGATATGACAATCAATTATACATCGTATTATACTTCTTTGACAAGTCATGTCTAAAAACAACACATTTATGCACTGCTGCATGATGTCAGGTATATTTCTTCCTTGGTTCTCTGACAGATCATTTTCAAAATTCTTATGTAACACTCACGGCAAATCTTCCAGTTTTGAAGCTTCATGTTTTGGATCGAGAAGATCAAATCCACTTTCGTTGTAGATTTCCAAGTAGGAAATGTGTAAATCATATGTTCTTTCTGTGTCCTGTCACACACAAACATACAAAATAAATCATTTACTTTAACACACAATCTCATAACAATAAGCATATTTTATCCACTTAAGGCTGTGGATTTTGAAAACGTCACAATATATGTCTATAATAAATGGTAAATAGTACGAAACCCACTTCATGGAATTGGAAACTGCCAGAGAGGATGCTGTTTGGAAAGATCAAGGAGATCATTATTGCAGCTCTTCAGAATGATACTGCAGTCAACAACTTGCCAAATACCACAGCAGTGAATCTATGAGGATTTTACACTGAGCAGGTATGTATTTTAGTTACTGAAAGATTAAGAACGATATCTTTGGGACATCGACTAACATAACATGAATAATGAAGAGCATGAATTAACGTTTGCAATTAATAACATTTTAATTTCATTTAAACGTGATTTCTTATGTACAGTTTTCAGTTACATCTTTATACATGTACAAAGAAAATCAATTAAGACTGAAAGAAACAACACCGCTTCCAAAATATTCATTCTGCTGTCATGGTCTTAGGAAAAAATCAAGTTGATGAGTTATATAGTCCAGCAACAGTATGCTGTATACTTGGTACTAAACATGTATACAATAGACACTTACAGTGCTCACTACATTAAAATGGCTCAATAATATAAAATCTAGTAAATAGTAAAAAATGTAGAATTTAACATGCTTTGGATTATGTGAAAAGTCTCATAGTCATTTCCATTACATCTCATTATCATGAAAACCCAATAAGTTTGTTCCATAAAAATCACTCATCATAATAATTGAGACTGGTTTGAAATCTTTTCTATGAAAACTTGTTACCTTTTCAAACTGTTCATACAGGTAGGATATTGATCTGGGTATGATGCCTCTGTCTGCATATTTTTCGGCCCCACCAGTGATGGTAAATGTCTTTCCACTCCCAGTCTGTCAGTGACAAATAAGGAGGAATAATTCATGTAGAAATGGCAGAATATCTAATTTAACAATCATAATGATTAATTTCTCTTGTTTTACCTGTCTCAATGTCTTACCTGGCTATATGTATACATTACTTTACCTGTCTCCATATCTTACCTGGCCATATGTGTACATTACCTTACCTGTCTCCATGTCCCACCTGGCTATAAGTGTACATTACCTTACCTGTCTCCATATCTTACCTGGCCATATGTGTACATTACATGTCTCCATGTCTCACCTGGCTATATGTATACATTACTTTACCTGTCTCCATATCTTACCTGGCCATATGTGTACATTACCTTACCTGTCTCCATGTCTCACCTGGCTATATGTATACATTACTTTACCTGTCTCCATATCTTACCTGGCCATATGTGTACATTACCTTACCTGTCTCCATGTCCCACCTGGCTATAAGTGTACATTACCTTACCTGTCTCCATATCTTACCTGGCCATATGTGTACATTACATGTCTCCATGTCTCACCTGGCTATATGTATACATTACTTTACCTGTCTCCATATCTTACCTGGCCATATGTGTACATTACCTTACCTGTCTCCATGTCTCACCTGGCTATATGTATACATTACTTTACCTGTCTCCATATCTTACCTGGCCATATGTGTACATTACCTTACCTGTCTCCATGTCCCACCTGGCTATAAGTGTACATTACCTTACCTGTCTCCATATCTTACCTGGCCATATGTGTACATTACATGTCTCCATGTCTCACCTGGCTATATGTATACATTACTTTACCTGTCTCCATATCTTACCTGGCCATATGTGTACATTACCTTACCTGTCTCCATGTCTCACCTGGCTATATGTATACATTACTTTACCTGTCTCCATATCTAACCTGGCCATATGTGTACATTACCTTACCTGTCTCCATGTCTTACCTGACTATATGTGTACATTACCTTACCCGACTCCATATCTTACCTGGCCATAGGTGTACATTACTTTACCTAACTGCATATCTTACCTGGCCATATGTGTACATTACCTTAACTGACTCCATATCTTACCTGGCCATATGCAAATATGGTTCCATTATAGCCTGATAAAACACTGCAATATAAAACAAACAATTCAATTCATTCCAGAATATCAACATTGTTCAATAACTGATAAGGATTTGATTGAGAAATGTTAATAGTACAATGCTTGGTGTTTTTTTCAATATTCTAATTTTAATTTTTTTTTTCTAATCAAAGTCTGATGCGATTTGATACGATGTGCATGAAATAAAATATACAATAAGCCAAAAATTCAACCAATCAAGAAATTGAGAAGATTTTTCAGATATCTCTATAGATGATCAACCATTGTTAACACTGCCCTTAGGTATCAATTTACTGTGTATATACCATTTCATAGAGCAGTTGTCTTACTTGTCAATCACTGGTTTGGAAACTGCTTGAAAAACATCTTCCTGTTTTGAATTTTGGTCAAAAACATGCTTAAATCTGGAAACAAAATAAAGGTGTAATTAAACTACACTGTTCAGTGATCACTATAAGCTGAATCACAGTTGGACAAACTTGGCTGCTCTGTCTGAAACTAAGGTAAATCAAGTTACAAATTTTGCATGAAAATGTTTCATTTCAAGAATGTTTCTGAATTCTCACTTTTAACACCTTGAGAATTTAATGAAGGAAGGAAACAATTTTCCTCATTATCTTGGACTAAACCCTCTAAAAATATAATACAAGAATTTAAAACATTGTAATCACACCAACAACCATGGTACTAAAGACAAAGATTTAATGGACAAGAGTTTTGATTTCATTTTATTATATATTGTAATAATGTACAGTAAATATGTATTTAATGTGTGGACTTCAAAAATCAATAGCATACCTGAATTTATAATTCTCTTTCTTGTTATTGATAAAGCCCTCAGCCAAATCACGAGGAACAATGAAAGTCAATCGTGGTTGTCCTTCATCATCTTCATCCAAATCATACAACTATACAGCACACCAAACAAAGTTAAAAGTTAAATTTCATTCTAACTTTCTGATTTTCATGGCTTAAAAGCTGATTAAACAAATCACTTCCACTGGTTCTGAACAGGGATTTCAACAAACCACTCCCACAGGCTCTGAACTGGGATTTCAACAAACCACTCCCAAAGACTCTGAACTGGGATTTCAACAAACCACTCCCACAGGCTCTGGACAGGGATTTCAACAAACCAATCCCAAAGACTCTGAGCAGTGATTTCAACAAACCACTCTCACAGGCTATGAACAGGGATTTCAACAAACCACTCCCAAAGGCTTTGAACTGGGATTTCAACACACCACTCCCGCAGGATCTGAACAGGGATTTCAACAAATCACTCCCACTGGCTCTGAGCAGGGATTTCAGCAAACCACTTTCACTGGCTCTGAACTGGGATTTCAACAAACCACTCCCACAGGCTTTGAACAGGGATTTCAACAAACCACTCCCACAGGCTCTGAACAGGGATTTCAACAAACCACTCCCAAAGACTCTGAGCAGTGATTTCAACAAACCACTCCCACAGGATCTGGGCAGGGATTTCAGCAAACCACTCCCACAGGCTCTGAACAGGGATTTCAACAAACCACTCCCACAGGCTTTGAACAGGGATTTCAACAAACCACTCCCACAGGCTCTGAACAGGGATTTCAACAAACCACTCCCAAAGACTCTGAGCAGTGATTTCAACAAACCACTCCCACAGGATCTGAGCAGGGATTTCAACAAACCACTCCCACAGGCTCTGAACAGGGATTTCAACAAACCACTCCCACAGGCTCTGAACAGGGATTTAAACAAACCACTCCCATTGGTTCTGAACAGAGACTTCAACAAACCACTCCCACTGAACTTGAATAGGGTTTTTTAACAAACCATTCCCACTGTTTCTGAACACATGTTTCACCATCAATGAAACTAAGCCTAAAATTTGTCCAGTGAATGTTAGTAGGATCTATTAATTTTGTTTTGTCACCACTCCAAAAGCTAAAACAATCCATAATCACTTACAGCAGATGGAAACCAAAAAGAACGAGGAAGATGACCCTCATTAATATGACAACTTGTGTTATCAGTAACAGGAGATAGAAAAGGAAATAGGGCCAGACTAAATTAAAACCTAGCATGTTTGAACTCTTGATGAATGCTGTATCTGCTGTGATGTCTTAGTTTTTATTGTAAATAAACTAATAAATATACACAGTGTGATCATTGAATAACTGGAATTCCTCAGCTCAGTCCTTCTTTGTTTTGTACATCCACAGCTATAAACAAGAGGCTCCAAAGGGATCTAGGCACTTGCTATTGTTTAGTCTTTTTATTTTCTCTAAAGAATGGATCTTTTCCCTTTTCTATTCTTTCCTTTGAGTTTTGCTCTTACTCATATGAAACTTTGAGAATAATTCTAAACTAGGGACAAAGCTGATTATCAAATGCCCTACCCTTCTTAAATTCATTCATTGTCAGGGTGATCTGATCTATAGTCTGACTCGATTCTAGATTTGCTGATATTTGATAGAAGAGATTCAGAGACAAGAAAAAAAGCCATTCTAGCTCGTTTCACATGATTAACATGCCGCCAAGTATATTGCCTAGATTTAGGATAATGCTCCCTAAATATATCAAACAAGACCATTATATTCAATAACTTCCAACACCTTATTCCAATACCTTATACCTCATTCCCAAAAGTTTCATCACATCCATTATTTGAATGAAAAAGGTTGGGTTGTCCTGGTTTGGGCTGTACAGAGAAACCAGAGTTATCCTTGACTGTTTAATATCAATGTCTAGTGCAAGAAAATTACCATAACTGTCCTTTTTCTCCCTATGCACTCTACCCCCAAAATTATTATTTAAAAGAATTGCAATACCATGTGCATCGGATTCAAAACAGCTAAAATAACAGTTGTAGCCCCACTTGTTTCTAGTCACATTTTCCCGTTCAGACGTAAAATAGGCATCCTGCAAACAGTAAATGCTGTGTTTTTTCTCTCTTAAATACAAAAAACATCTTTTCTCTTTACTTTATCGCCCAACCATTGACAGTTCACTGGCAGCATAGTAATTTTACTCATCCAACATGAACATTGTAATCAACTCTCTTTAATGTAAATTCCTCTCCAGAAAAGAATAGACAAAATAGGAGAAATATGAGAGAAATCTTTACATTGCAAAGACTGTATAAGAAAATTTAAAGAAAGAAAGGACCTTAGGAGCAAAACAGCTTCACATAAAAACATATTTATAGTTCAGGACAAGACAAGTCGAAAATTACCACTCAGCACTTGCAATACCCTGCGTTGTAATACATAAACAGAAATACCCAACTGGAAGTATAGTATTCTAAACAGAAATCTCAAGAACAGAGAAAAGACAAATCTGGATGGTCGTATCAAGTAAAAAAGATAGAAAGCCTATAGGAATACATCCTGCCTACTTATGTAGCACAAATATAGAAATAATCATGTTGGTCATTACCGAAACGAAGTCATTTTGCTACTTAAAAAAAAATAGATAACACATGTGCATTACATAACTTTTTTTCTCAACGTTAACGAAGCAATCTCATTTTACTACTGAAATACTTTTCTTGCATGTACAGGTTAAAGAAAAAATCCATTTGTACATTCATTCCATAAAATCACTGATCATATCACACACACACAAGATTATGTAACATGAAGAGTCGAAATAGACCATCAATTAACAGTTGTAGATCAGAGCCAGGAAGTACTGGCGTTATGTCCTTTGTGATCATTGTCATTACTTCCTAATCATAAAGTTGGCATCGTCAAGGAGAAAGCTCTCTTCTAGTGGCATATCATATGATGATGATGTACTGAGGGTTGTGTGTTTGATTTCCTGGATGAGGCATACTACTTGTTTGTTTGGTCATTGGAGTTTGTATTTTTGTTCCACTACAAACATGCTTGTGTTTTAGATGAGGATGATGTCCAAGCTTTCATTCAAGTATTGTATATGTAAATACAAATAAATTACTTAAATGAGAGGAAGAATATACATTTTGTGTATCACCTTTGTCAGTACAAATGAACTTAATGACTTATGTAGTCACTTAATGAAAAGGATATACAAACTGAGTATCACATTCAAAATGAATTATTGGAGCCAGTCACTTAAAAAGAATATAAAGACTGTATCACCTATATTAGTAAAAATAAACTCAATAAACACTAAATGAAAATGGAAAAATTGATTTGTTTGTTGGGTTTATCGCCCCATGAACAGTCAATCGTGAGGTATGGTCTCCTTGTAACAGCTGGCCACGGTGGCTACTTCACTGAACAATACAAGACCTGTAACATGCCATTCGTGGCAAATAAGTTAAATTGTCTTACATAAGGACACAACCTCAACAGCACTAACCTTTCTGTTTCCCAACTTCAGAAACACAAACCGCAGAGCCAGAGGGTGAGCAAATGAACTCAACACGTCAGTCAAATACAGAATAACTAAGAATATACAGTCTGAGCAAATATCCAGCTCAATAATTTAAACAGATCAGTCATCAAAAAGTGATTTCTATTTCAAATACATTTGGATTATTACTTTTATCAGGTGATAACAAGAGTCATGCGTCCCATATCAGTAAGCATAACTTGTGTTAGCGAAGAGATATTTTTTAATTAATCGACAGACACGATTAAACAGAACATTCTATCAAGAATGTGTACACTTACTCCTGCTTTCGAGCGAGTAGGTTTCACTCGGGCAAATATCTGAATTGTATGTTTAACCATGTTGCTTGTCATACATGTCTATCCAACAACAAATAGCAAGATTCCAATGTGATGTTCGCCATTGTTAAACAAACGCACCGAGTATTTTCATTGGTCAAATGCTGTCTTATCAGTATCACTTCAATGTTTGAAAAGAGTTAACATTCCTTGCTAGAATTGTCAAGCTTCTGTATGTCGAGAAGACATTCGGAAGTATTTCTTATTTTCTTTCGCTGTAATGAAAAAGCCCGAGATATAAATGAAATGCATTGTAGTGACAGACGGCAAAATATTGGATACAGGTGCTTCTTTCTTTCAATCTGGTCGGATTTCAAAACGATGTATGATATTGGTTTCTACTCAAGTGAATTCTAATTGCCGTAAATTATCGATAACAAATGATTTCATCTACCTGAATGATTGGGAGGACACGTACAGAGACAGGTAACACCGTCATTTTCATATTTTTTTTACAGCTGAAATGTCGAGCCATTCAGCTAATCCCACGCATCAATAATCAGTCTATATTTTACTTAAGTTGACAATATTTAAATTTTATTCATCGAACGACAGCTGTTGTTTTTATTGTCAGCATTTTTTATTTTGAGACAAGCGAGGTAGTGTTTTCTAATTCAACCGGCTATTTAGCATATTGTATGCACTTACTGCTACAGCAGCTGACAAGTGGTTGGTTGCAGTATAAATTAGTGATTCATGGAAGTGCAAGTAAGCGAAACAAAGCCTCTCGTTTATCGCGTTGAACTCAATATGCTGATTAAATTTTAAAAGAAATAAGGTTGATATTTAACACACAAAAATAATGATAGAATATATTCAGAAAAAATAATATATCAGTATATATATGATACTGACATTTAGAATAGCTAGATATTAGGAGTGTTCTGTATATGATTAAGTTTATATAAAATGATTTGTATTTTCAAATTGGTGTAGCTTCAACTTTATCCTACTGCCCCTTAATTGAATTTTGGAAAATTTAATTGTTAAATATTATCATTTATCAGAAATCACATTGAAGCAGAGTTATTATGATGTATAATGTCAACTCAGTTATATTTCTATAACATTAAAACTTTCCTACAACCTCATTAATTTGTTTTTTGGAACTCAAGTTATTAGGTGACACAACTTATCATTTGATTCTTTTCATATATCTTCATCAAGATCAGGGAATTTTTTCATGATCATGTATTCATTTTGTTGGAATGTGTGACAGTAATCTAGGGATTGTTGAAACCATGTTGTGGCTTGAGTACATTGCTGTACACATTCTGCCTGACCACAAAAGGTGTAAGTTGAAGGTGTATGAAGATATTCACACCCACCTTAAGGTAGTTAGCTCATCCTGTAAAAGTAACACCTGTATACCTAACCCCTATTAAGTCATTCTAACTCATGTCATTAGCCCTTGTCAACCTCTCTCAATGGACATTTAGGGTCAGTTATAGGTATATAATGGTTGTGTACTGCCCATAACTGTGTCCCTATTTATTACTCAATTGACAGCTTGATGGAATGACACAGAAAGTTACTGGCATGTGCAGTGGTCACACTTCAGTTGTTCACCACCTGTATAAGTCTACAGTACCATACAGGTGACCCATTGTGGTATACTGCAGACTATTTTTATTCTTGTATTTGTGAGTTATCCTATGTCCCTGTCAGGTGTCTCTTACGCTGTCAGTATTGAATTATTTGGGAACATTTTTGTCTTGAATATGTAAGCATAAAACATTTCATTATATCTACATGTGTATTGAGTCCTGGTATGGGATTACTGAGCTACCCTGTGTACATTGTATATGACATTCCTATGAGTGATGTGGAGCTGACCTAGATGTGAGAGACAACATATATGTTTGAGTATATGTATGGTAGTTTTTCCCAGGGTATGTATATATTTTGTGAATGTTTTTGAGATGGCTGTTTATTTTTTATGTTGCCTTTTCATTGACCTTGTCGCTACTCATGACAGGCAAGCTAAATTTTTGCAGTTACTCCCTTAAGAGATGTGTTGATTTGTGACATGAGAAAACTTGATTACCAGATCTCAGCTGGTGATATACATCATGAAAGATTCAACTGCTGTGAGTCATTAGTTGACTCCATATAGTAAGTGCAAAATTTGATGCTGTGATGTATCAAATGAAAGTGGAGTTTATTTACAGTTTAATGAAAATTTCATTCAAAGATTATATTAGTGGGTACAGGAACATTGGAAATGAAATAGATTGAGACTTACAATTTTATGATGATTGATTTTATGGTAACTTCTGGTTACAATCAACTGTCCTCTACCCTACCCCCAAACAATATACAGTTCAGTACAAGTATTTTATCCTTGATGAAAGATTGGTTCTATTTTACAGTCACATATATATAACATGTATATAGCTATAACCATCATAACTTTATCTTACACAGTATAACTAGTAATATCAGAGACGTATATAACATGTGTTATGTGTTATATATGTCTCTGGTAATATGTTGTAAATTTAAAGCTACAGAATGGCAATTAAACTGTTAAAAAGGAATATCATATAGGTGTTTTATGTGGAATTCATAAGAGTTTTTTCACATGAAATGGCTCTAAGAATTCTTCCTTTTACCAAGCCTACCCTAACTCTGACCCTAATGAATGCAAGATGCTGTTGACCACATGACTTTGATTTGCACGTAAACATTTGTGAACATGTCATTGTACAACTTTAACTTCAAATTTGGTGATTTTCTTAATCTTGGTAACATCACATTGCATAAAGTGCCGTGAGGTGCTCATGATGATGTCACATTTTAAACAAATCACAGAATTTTTCAGTCAATCACATCCTGGTTAGGTACATATGTACATGAGGTCCTAAAACAAGCGATGTTTGAATATATTACTCAGTAAAATATTTTTTTCATTTGGACTTACTGGGCAATAAAATCTTTTTTCAAGTTTAATACATACAAATTGTTTCTCTTGGTCAGGATAACAAAATACAAAATGAGAAAAAAAATGAAAAATAAAGAAAATATCAAGATTTAGAAAAGAAAAGAAAACCAACATTACAGCTGCAGCCTTAGAGTAGTGACATCTGAACATGAACTCCTCATCAAATCCTTCTTAGATCATTTATAAAGGCATAAAAACATGTACCTGTAATCAATTTGTTTCCCTACAGGTTAACAACTTCCCCCTTTAAAGATATGAATTTGTAATAGTCATTGGCATTTTTGTTGAGGAGATTCCTATTTTTGGTAGAATAGTTTGGGCCTAGTCTAGCAGACAGTTGATTGTATTAATGACATGACGGCAGTGACCTGTAACTAATAATAAATGAATGTTATTGTCCAGAGGTATTTACTCAGAACTTGTCAGCCTTTCACACTTGTGTGGTGCCTAGGTAGTCAGATCAGACTACCTATACTCTGATTTATGTAGTCTACACACTGGTCAAAAGGTCAGAAAACCCCATGTGATCCACTCTAAGTGTAAAGTTGAGAATGCCTTTGTTGGTATGTAAATTTGGTGTTTTTATTATTTTTGAAAACTTTACTCATTTATGTATCAAGTGAGTTTTTCAATTGTTATTGTAGTCTGTGATCATAAAACTGATTGTATCTGTAGTGTAACAGTGGCCTATGTATATATCTGAGGTTGTTTATGACCCAGGACTGTATCTTATCACCAGAGTCATCACAGAACCACAAAGAATGTAGACTACTGGTGAGACAAACATCAACACCTATTTATCAACATGTATTTTAACCATGTGTAATTGTACCCATACATTTCGGAGAGCCACTCATGATTTTTCACTGTTATTGTTTTTACTTAACTTTAGTTTATAACTGTTCTTAGGAAAACATAAACTTCATATTATATTGTTTTGGTGTCTTATAAATACATTTTCAGATTTTACCAGATATTTTCTTGTCATAAGATTAAAGAATAGGAAAAAAATTGATGGTAAATTGTAAGAATTTGTTCAGGAATAAATATTATCAGTATGGGTAATTTTGTTGGCTATGACTATTAGAGACATTCTTTCCAATATTTTAACAAAAAGTTTGAGAGAAACGGGAAGAAAATCATTAAACTTGTCTTTATATAAAAGTTGTAATGTGGGATCATTTCAAGTGAGTATAGCAAGCTGATCATGCTTAAATGTTAAGAATGGAAGTGGAGCTTGAGGGAGACTTCCTGTCTCTGAACAGAGGGGGAGGGAATGAAAACATCACTAGAAAGCATCAATAATTGATCTAACCTTCTCACTTAATAATACCTTTATAACGTAAAAACACTGCAGGGATACTTATTGATGTATTGATGTCACTCATACATTTATGGATTGTTTTCTTATATTGGACAAGCTAGATAAATATGATAAGTACTTTCTATTTCACAACAGCAATAATTTTCATTGTTGTGAAAAACTGACTACCACTCATTCCCTTTAGGTATTGTTTCAGTAATGGATCAATAATGATATGCAGAGTCTCTTTAATAACATTAAAAATTCTAATACTACCTTGCTATTGATTTTAAATTCTCATTTACATGAGCATGCCTGTATTCTATTGGCAAAACCTTTGTAACACACAAGAAGTATATTATGGCCATATTGGTAAATTGATTTAAGTGTCCATGGGACGATCTGTTTTTAGTTTGAACAAGAAATATGCATACTTTGTGCACTGCTGGCTCGGAGGTTCATTGACAATCAACCATATGCTAATATTGGTGCCACTGCAGTCTTTCCTTTCTAATTAAGCAAATCACACACACACACACAAAAAAAACCATTGCTCTTGCAATGAAGAAGTTTTTCGACATATCACATGGTAAATTCTTGTGATTGACTTCATCAAAATTTATATCTTGAATATGCTTACAGCATATTATTGAGTTTGCAAAGACAAGCGTTATGTACTTTTTATTTCCAAGAAATATAGAATGATTATACATGTATTATGACAGATTTAACGGTGTAAATCATAATATGTCCGTCATAAAATTTTCACTAATAAAAGCATCACCACTAACAATTTGTTATATTCTTAGCATTATATCCTTAACTGCAGTTATCAGCAGTTGGTTTTCCAATATACTGGGACAGCCCTAATTTATCCATCGAAACTGCATGCATTAAAAAGCATTTACCGTAAGACTTGTGGTTTATTGTGTAACAGTACCTAGACGATGATGACAGGTATTGATCTTGTGAATACATTACAATTAGGACAAGGTAGAACCAGCTGATCTGATTAGACCCAGTAAGTATTACTTTGCTTTACAGTGCCAGGTGAGATAGGTAGCTAACTTTCACTTGTCAGCTCCTATAATTATTGTTACACACCTTATACAGTAGTACTGTCCTTATATTGATAAAAATGATTGCATGATCTGTGCATAACTGTGTACAAGTCAAGTG